TTCATAGTATTTATCTGCAACCACAGAATAAATTCCTTCATGTGATGACTATACTATCTATGTCACTTAATATGTAATCAATATTATAAAACTGTAATCTAAAACAAGTTTTCTCAACTGCAACAATAGTTACCCTTTGGGTCAGATAATTCTTTATATGGAAGACTTTGTGGTATGTGGTATGATGTTGAGTGTAATCCCTGACCACTAGATGCCAATGGCAACATCATTTTCAATTGTGACAATCAAAAATGTCACCAGATACTGCCAAATGTTTTCTGGAAGGAAAAAGTTGCCGTAATTCACACCCTTTGCTTTAGGTTCATTTGTCAATTTACAGCACTAGTAACTGGAGTATTAGTAACTAGTTTTCTTATTTACAAGATATGATAACAAACTTTGAAACTTTTGATAATTTTGTGGAGAATGAATGCATTTATCTTATTATGAAAGGATGAGTGAACATTCTGTCATATCTTTGTAATTTTTCTGTGAATGGCTGGTTATGTCTTTTATAATCTCTATTTGACATTAATCTATTTGTACGATTTTATGTAAACCTTTCACACTTGAAATGCATCCAGTATTCAGTGTATCAATCTTGTTTCTGCAGATTTCTTTATAATTTTTAAATCACAACAGTATTTTGTAGTCTACAAATGGTACTTGACTTGTGATGGTTCATTCAACTCCCCATTTTTTGACTTCACAATGGCACAAAAGCATACAGTAAAAAATGTACTGCAAGATTTGAATGTTGATCTTTTCTGGGATGTGCTGTATGATACTCTCTCACGATGCTATGCGGTGGCAATGATGCACAGCTCCCAGGCAGCCATGTGGCCAGGAGGATAAACAACTGATACGATACAGTGTACTGTGTTGCTGAACCATGATGTTTGGTAAGTTAGATGTATTAAATGCTTTTTGAACTTACAACATTTTCAACGTACTATTGTTTTCTCAGGATGTAAGCCATTATAAGTTGGGGAGCCTCTGTAATGCCTTTTAGCTAATGAAAACATGAGATTAATCGAAAGACCATTGATTCGGAGGACACTAGCAGACAGCCTAAAATTACCATTTAGCTTTTGCATAAATTTTTAGATTCCATTCTGTATTCTGCAAGGGTCTGCTTAGTAGAATCAGTGTTCTAATTCTAAATATAAAGTTTGTATATGGTTTTCCTTTTAAATAGAAAAAATTGTATTATATGTATATTTTTTCCCAAAAAGTCATATTCAAAATCTGAAATGAAAAAAATTACTATAATATTTGTAACATATGAAATGATATATGAGAACTCTTCTGGAGCTTATTGGCTTTTAATATGAGAAGCATAAAGTGTATCCTGTGAAGATGTGACTGTGACTTTAAAAGAATTTTTTTTTTATAATAAGAATCAGTGCATATAGACTAAAACTTCCTCCTGAGCCAGGTTTATTTTTAGGTAAAACCACAGAATCTAATCAGGTTTCCTGTTATAATGTAAAGTGGAAATATAAAGATGTCTGATTATTTTGTGTTAGGACCAACCGTTTCATTCTATCATCTGTCTTTTTCTATCACCTCCACTGTGATATCCCGGAATGGGGCTCCTGACACATAATAGAAAGCTTCAGAGGAAACATTAATATGTTCCTTAGTTCAAGTAGTTCATGTTATCACAGAAGCAAATGAAAAGTCTCCCGACCTTTTCATTTACTTCTACGACAACATGCTCTGAGAGGAAAAGATTTTTGCCAGCTGTTTTAGTTTTAAATTACAGTGCCATGATTGGTTTCATTTCTGGGTCACCCATGGCAACCATTACATGCAAGTGCAAGACGAGCAATGGCTGCCTGCAAAATTCTCAAGAATTGGAGTTTGAATGCTTTGAATTGTTACCAAGAAGGGTTTGTTAATTTGGATCTAGTGGGGGGAGTAGAAATATATAGTATTTGCTCATTGGTTTTAAGCTTCTTTCCTTTATGTCTCTTTAAAATACATGTCTTTTAACAACTACATTCTTTATGCATCACCTCCCCAATAGTAGAAATATCTTTGCAATAGGTTTGGGGCATATTCCACGGACCTTTTGACAGGCTTTGTGGAAAGAGAAAGAAAACTTCAAATGACAGTGTAGTAAAGATCAATATTTTATGTTATCATTTTTCCATCTTTAGAATCTCATATAAGAAGTGGCAGGTTTTAATTCCTACTGATATTAGATGTCATCATCCTTCTATTTTTTTTGGTATGAGAAATTGAATCCAGGGTCACTTAACCACTGAGCCACATGAACCCTACCCAGAGCTACTAACATATCCCTTAATTCTTAAGAGCTACTAGTTTCTTAGGGCCTCACTAAACTGCTGTGGCTGGTTTTGAAGTTGCTATCATGCTGCTTCAGCCTCCCGAGCCTCTGGTATTATATGTGTGAGCCACTGCGCTCAGTTTTGTCTTCTGTTTTTACTAATGCTTACTTATTATTTGCTTATTTATTATTTTTCTCCATGAATATTTTTTTCTTTCCCAAAGCTCCTCAGGAACGTAGTAGCCCTATAGAACCATGACATCTGACAATTCAGTTTTCCCAGCATGTGCCTGCAGAATAGAATCCTCACAGATACTTTATAGTGCCTGGGAGGAAAGGTCTCACCTCAGTGGCTAAATTTCTAATCTTTAATGTCCCTTACTTTCCTACCATTATTTTGTACCATAAAATGCACTCTGATAATGCTTTAAGTCAGGAATGAGAAAATTTAGTTATAAAGTGCCAGTAACATTATAATCCCTTATAGCACTACTTAATTCTGTTATTATAGCATAAAAGGACTCATAGACAACACCTAAACAAATTAACATGGCTATGTTCTGATAAAAGTCCATTTATGAACAAAGAAATTTGAATTTTACGTAGTTTGGACGAGTCATGATGTATTTATCTCCTTTGGATGTTTTTCAACCAGAAAAATAATCTAAAAACTATTCTTAGCTTGAAGGACAGATTGGTCTCACAAGCCCTGATTTACTAGCTTACACTAAGCAGTAATTTTAAATTGAGTGTGAATTAGAATCAAATGTAAGACCAGTTCAATTGCATTGCTGAGCCATAAGAAATTTTTGTTCTTAGTAGATCTGGATAAGGTTCAAGAATATGTGTCTCTAGGAAGTTTCCAGGAGATTCTGAAAATGTTGGTCTGAGGAACACACTTTGAGAACCACAGATATAGCTCAGGGATGGGCCAACTTTCTGTGAAGGGATGGGTGAGAATAATTTTCATCACACTGTATAGTTTCTGTTGCAATTACTAATCTTTACCATTGTAGAAAAACAACAGCAATACACAGTACATAATAAAAGCATGTGCTGTGCACCAATAAAACTTTACAAAAACAAGCAAGGGATTGCCTGTGATCTGAGAATGGAGTTTGTTGACTTATGATCTAAAGTCTCCCTTTTTTGTGACAAAGGAAGAATTAAGGGATATATTAATGTTATTTTAGTGAATAAAGTTTAAGTTTTACATAACTTTTGGAGCACATAAAGATAAAAATCATTTCAAAGAGTGAGTTTCTTAAATAAATATTTTATCAACTATTAGATCTATGCCAGGCTTCCCTGAGGAATTATCAACATTAGAATAAAAAAATCTGAACTAATGAAATGTTCATGAAGAAAAGAAATAAAATTGATCATTCTTTTTTATTTTCCACTGACTACCCTGTTATCTGCTTAGAAGTTCTAATTATTTTCAATTTTAGTTATTTATCAAACTAGCTTGAGATGCAATACTACGAAGAGTATGCCCTTTAAATCAAAATATTTCCTCAAGTGTTCTGATTGTGCTTTTACTACATGTTCTAAGGTCTTACCATGGTTTTACTTTTCAAGCATTGTACTGTATTTTACATCAGATATTTATTTGAGATGAATCATCTTTGCAAGTATCTCAGAGAATCTCAGAGAACATCGGTATATATGTTTGTATGTGTGTGTGCCTGCATGAGTGTATGTTTAATTTCTATTTTCCTAAACCAGATTTTCTCTGGGTCACTTTTCCTCTTATACATTTCTCACATTGGTTCTCCTTTTTTATTCACAGTTTTAAATGAGAAGAAGATAGGAAGAGTGATAGAGCCTTACAGGTACATGGATGGTGGCTTTACGTTAGGATAGTATGTGATTAGCAACGTTATGCATGGAATACACTAAATACCCAAATTAGGCTTTATTCTGAGATGCAGCACTAACATCAGTTGCTATAATTTTTCTAAGTGCACCTCCAACCTGCCCCTTACCAGGTTCTTTAGGAATATAATCCACTAATATGTTGATTGGTGGGAAGTAGAAATGTCTGGCTGTATATTGTTTCCTTGTATACAAGTTCAATTAACAGCTTTTTTGGGGGGAGGGGGAGTATCAGGGATAGAACTCACTGGCACTCAACCATTGAACCATTTCTCCAGACCTATTTTGTATTTTATTCAAAGACAGGGTTTCACTGAATTGCTAGCACCTTGTGATTGCTGAGACTGGCTTTGAACTCAAGATCTTCCTGCCTCAGCCTCCTGAGCTTCCGGGATTATAGGCATGTGCCACCACAGCCAGATAACAGCCTTATTTTTAGACTTTCTTTTCTCCCATTCCCATCATGTTTTCTGTCTTTGAGTCTGAATGTTTTAAAACAAATATATAACATCATACTATTTTTATACCTGTGCAACATCCTCATATTTGCTTTACAGGGAAGTCAATGCCACTGACAGTGATAGAATCTGGGCGGGGGGGGATAAATAATGGTCCTAAAATTGGAAAACATTGACTAACATTAAGTTCATGAAACAGACCTTTAAACTTATACAATTGTCAATTAACATTGACATTCCTAGTAGATTAACTAAGAAGCTAAGTTAAAAATTGTGTACTGTTAATATTTTGGGGAGGTGAAAATTATTTTTCTTCCAGTAATCCATCTGGCTTTTCTCTTTTTGCTCTCCTCATATTAGAACCACAAGTATCCTTGAAGATCTCTTGGACCCTGGTTCTTTTTTTCTATTCATATTACAGGGAGAGTTTAACTAATTTCAGAAGACGATGCTTCACGTACATGTTTTATTTCAAATAGTTCTTGAGTCTCCTGAAAATCTTCAGGTAAGTTTTCTATCCAAACTCCAAGTAGATTATAAGTGGTATAAAATGCCTTTGGTGTTATAGGGTATGACAGCACATGTCAAAGTCAATTGCTGTCAAATCTAATTTATTACTTTATTGAAAATTTGGACATATTGAAGTTTAGCTTAATTGAGATTGCTCTTTAGCAGCAATCTTCCCAGAATGGAAATGTAAAGTGAATGCCACTTTAAGTAAAGAGGAAAAAGTTTCAGCAATACATAATGTAAAAATAGCATTTGATGAGCAGATAAGAATGATATGTAAGGCACACTATTATCAGCAACCACAACTGTTCCTGCTGCAGTTCCGTGGCACGAGCTCTGCAAAGGAAGCCAAAGCAATCATAGAATTTTTATAGCAAGGCTGTTCATGCTTTTCTAGTACTCATTGTGTCAGCACTTTAATTATAAATTCTATTCTGCATGCGTCTATAGCAAAGCTGCAAACCCACCAAAATTATTTCAAAACCTCACTTGAGTTGAAGATAAAATAATTTAAGAATATTTTTAAATGCTGATCAGAGTACTCCATGTATCAAACAGCAAATGCATCAATTAATATGTTCATTAATTAGACCCTTGAGGAAGTAGATGGACAATAAACACAAAATTGAATAATCCAGAAATGTTTAGAATATATAGGATTCATAGGCAACTTGCAAATGGAAAATTATTATAAAATAAATTTTTCTTGAAATTTTAAAATAATAGTTTTGAGACCTCATCATATACATCATAGCGTCATGCAATTATATTTCATAGCATTTACCAAAATTGCAACTAGGTAAACAGCATTGTATGTTTTTTAGGATGTGCCTTCCATAAGATGACAAGTGAAGAGACACACATTACATCTAACTTTTATTCCAAATGATATACATCGAGTTTTGCCCATAGTATGTGTTCAAGTCAAATGAAGAACAAATATATCAATAAAGCACATATATTTTTAATAACTTATTGTTCAACAGTGACTTTCACATTATCATTTTATTATACTCACCCTTATTTTAGTCCATCATTTCAGTTTCTGAAATATACCTTCATTTATATATGAATAAAATAGTATTTGAAGAAATATTATTTTACATTCGTGCATATGGATATGTTTATTCTACCTAAATAATTTTCTTATATTTATTCTAAGTAACTTGTTTCCTATATGTCAATAGGAAAACAAATCTAGTTTTAAATAGTGATTTCCTGCTGCATCCAGATATGGATTTAGTTGCTAAGGGAAACATTCAAACCCATCTTTTGAAAACTTCAACAACTTCATTTACCTAATTTAGACCTAATGGTGAAGTTTATATGAAACAACATGCAGATCTTCCCCAACATGGTTAAATCACCATATGAAATGTTGTATATCTGAATGTAGATTCAGGAACACCAGGATAAATCTGCCTGTTGTTATCACACAGGGGCAGTAATACTATGTGGAGCATGGAGAGGTAGGCAATGAAGAGTGTCTTTACTATTGCCGGTAGTAATATTATCCAAAATTCTATTATGATTAAAACATTTTAATTCTGTTTATTACCCCTTAAATGTTAAGCAATAAAGGCAATACTAAAAATGTTAAAAACATTTTAAAGTAAATTAAGGAACTAAATTTGCCAATGATTTTGCTGTCTTTTATATAAAGTCATGATGGAATAAAGTTAATATACAAAAAGAGTGTTCTAAAATTCTTGTTTGGTCAGTGATGAAAAGTGATCAAACCCTAGAACTTTACCATAGGTCTGACATTTTTTTTTCCTTGTACAATCTTTGATTTTTGCCCTTCATTATGTCATACATTGAGAGTGATGCTTACTTCCATTCCAGAGCCACTGGCTGTTGTCAGATTCTATCACAACATTAAAATTTTAAACTACTGAGTGCTTTATATAGTAACTTTTTCTATGTTAATACTTAAAAGACATAGCTGTAGTTTGTCTGACAGGGCATCTTAGTGATGAAGAGTTGCTCAAAATGGTAAAGGAAAATGAAAGAGTTTATGCAAAAGAGCTATTCAAAGACTGTAAAGTTGGTGAATTTCAAATACCACAGCCTATTGAGTCATTATAATGATGGATTGTCTCTACTATTTTCAAATAACATACAGATCTTGTCTGAAATAGTGAAATTGCTATATTATAATGAGTAGTGTGGGAAAACACTAATACTGTTAGCCTCCAAAAAAATGCACCACCCATTTTGACATTCATAAATATATTCAATGTGACATGATTATTATATTACACTGTAACTCGATATTTTAAGGGCATATTATGTTAAATTTCATGATATCTTCACATTGCTTAAATATTTTCTACCTTTTCTTCAATGTATATTACTGATGATAGTTACTTTCAATGTGTGGAAATGTGTCCAAGACTTGATTTTTGTGACATATGCATGTAAAAAGCAGTTTTTTAGCTTATACTAATTATTTTATAAAAAAAAAAAAAAAAACAGGCACATTGAATTAGTTCCACATTGTTTCTGAGCATTGTGTTCTAGAATTATTAAAGACAGCATATTAGCAATAAAGTTCAGACTTCTGAAACATCTAAAGAGAAAGTAACCTATAGTTTAAGCAGACATTTTTCCTGTTGTAGAGATATACAGACTTTGAGATTTTTATTTCTACTATTTCTGAGCTCTTTATACCAGCAAGGCTCCCTGACATTATCATTTACTGGGGAAAAATTATTATTCACAAGTATGCCAGCTATCTTGAAACATATATGTTTTCTTGCTCATAATTCTCTTTGTATGCATCACCTATGCTGGTAGGTTTTCAATCATGGTAGACTACAACAATATTCCAAGAGTCTATTATTATTAGTAGTAGTGGTATTATCATCCATACTGCGGATTGAACCCAGAGGTGCTTTACTGCTGAGCTACAGCCCCAATCCCTTTTTATTTTTTTTATTTTGAGAAGTTCCCCCTATGTTGCCAACAAGTTAAGTTAGCTGAGGCTAACCACAAATTTTCAGTCTTTCTGCCTCAGCCTCTGGAATCACTGGAATTGCAGTCATGCACCACCACATCACACCAGGAGGCTACCATATTAATGTTAAGAATTAGATTATTTTCTTGGAAGTATAACATAACTATAAAATTGGAATTACTTATACAAATAAGTGCAGATTTACTGCATTAAATTAAATTAACAATTAAAACAAGAAACTTGCTTATGTTCACTCACATCAGAATCAATGATTTCATTTGAAGTTGGCCTCCATTCAGTAGATCTAAATTAATTGGAAACTTTTCAACAAAGTTCAGCAAATACTGCTGATTTTTAGTTGATTTTTAAAATATAAAACAGCACTGCTTTCTAAAGATAAAGTTACATATATTTAAGGATTACACCAGGATGTTTTCACATGCCTATACTAGCTAAAATTATTACCATAATCATATAGTATATATGCACATGTGTATGTATGTGCACGTGTACTGGAAGCTTCTAAAATCTACTCTTTAAGCAAATGTCCAGCATGTAATACAGTAATTGACTATAGTTATCAATTTGCACATTAGATCTCTAAACTAATTTATTCTACATAATTGTACTTGGTACCCTCTGACTAACATCTATTCATCTCTACCACCTCCCTGCCACTCATAACCACAAATATATTCTGTTTCTATGAAATCTGGGTTTTTTTTAAACACTTTTAAAAGTGAAATCACACAGAATTTTTCTTTCTGATCTGGACTATTTCATTTAGAAAAAGTCCTCCAAATTCAACTATATTGTTGCAAATGGCAAGAACCTCTTTAACAAATACATCTTGCAATTAAAACTTTAGTAATATAGTGTTTGCCATATTGCATCTTCATTATTTATTTCTTTCTACAGAAAATGTACTGAGGAAGATTTTTGTGGTATTAATGATTTATTCTCAGCATCCATCACCACGCCTCACAACAAGGACACACTGAATATTAGTGTTCAAGGATCTTAGCTACCACATCCTACTACCATCTTTTTCTAGTGACAATGCTTCCTTAGAACCAAAATAATTAAATAAGCAAGTAATTAATTTCAGATTGAATTTAAAGGGGAAAAGTTCCATTACTCCTATTCCTCAATTCCATGTGTTTCTTTTAAATTTAAAATTTTTACCTTAAAGGGAAATTGAGTCAATAAAAAGAAAACCACATGAAATGTGCATGAATCTTGTCCTTTAAAAACAAAATAATTTTTTTCTTATAATATCTAAATTGAATTTTAGAAATATTTATTTAAGATTCAATTGACTTTTTAAAAATCTGATTATACATTCTAGGAGCAATCTTCAATTCTGAGGCAACATAACTACTATTAGCATATTATATTGGCATGGGTAATGTTAAAATTATGAGATTCAAGGTAACAGATAGTACTCTGAAGAACAATTTCTGCAACTTGGAGATTGTCCAAAGAAAAATCACATATGATAGTTAATCAGTGATACTGACATCTGCTTTCTCTAGAGATCAATAAGTGAATATCGGTGAAGGTTATTATGATAATTGAATGCACAACTACTTTAAATATACCTGTAAGTGATAGAAGATGGTCCTTAAATTAATATAGGAAATGGATATCTTAAATGGGTAAAATTAAAGATATTTAAATATTTCCAACTCATCTGAATCTTAAAGTGTTTTTATAGTCAAAGTAATATAAAGTCATAATTTTAGGAGGAAAAAATGTAAAGATAGTAGCTGTTACATATTAGATAATTAATATTTGTCAGTTGCTACTATATTGAACTGAAATAACAAGAATTATATAAAGAAAACATCTAAGATTTGTTTGTTTGTTTGCATGTTTAACAGTGCTAGGGACTAAACTCAGGGTCTTAAGCAAGCAAAGCAAGCGATCTACCACAAAGCCACATACACAACCTAATCCAGTTGATTTAAAATGTTATTTTTGTGCAATTTAATTATCATTACTTCATTTATTTCTTTTACAATACTCTCCAAAAC